CTATGTAATTTTTAACTGTTTATGAAATTGAAGCCTTGTCAGAGCGGCATATTCAGTCGCTTGAATTTTAAAAAGAGATTCTTTGTGTTTAGCAGTGCGCAGAAATGGTGCTTGCCGACATGGCCTCAAGAGGCGTGAAGCTTTTAAAACATATGCAACCCACAGAAGTGGAGAAGGTTGAAAATAACCGACTTAGAGTTACGTATCGTTCAGTTGATGGGAAGTCAGTCGGTTCAGACATATTCGATACTGTTATTTGGGCAGTTGGTAATACATATTCGGTTGACAATGCTGTATCTTGAGTTATAAGTAATGTGGGAGATGAGGTTTGAGGATATTCATGAATTTGGACGCGCATGAGCTTTTGTCTGCTGTTCACGATACCTTCAAAATTATCTTTTTTGGCAACTACTTGACTTTATATTACCTCTAAATTGGTATTATAAGTTTAGAGTTTGCCGCCAGCTTTGATGTTTCTTTTTTAGGGCTGCACTCAGTGGCTTCACTCGTATGGCCTCGCGTTTCCTAAACTTAATGCTTAAGTTTTGTTTAATAACTCAAAACAAAGTTTAGGATAAGGATTAACAATTCCAAGTGTCTAGGATACTAAAGACGATAGGGTTTATTGGGTTTTATTTTATTGCAATCATTGTTTAGCAAAGTTCGGGAATTCGAACCGGCTGTGTTAGTGTGGGCTGATAGTTAGTTTGATTAATATATTTCTTATCCGCTTTTAAAGAACTTGGTTGTCAAACATTTTAGCTTGCGTTAATTATTTTAATTTGGTCTGTGTATTTGTAAATTCCAATTTTCATCAAATTGTCTTGTTCGTGTGTAGAATTCCAAATTTTTTTTGCACAAAATTCGCGCGCATAAGCTCGGGAGCTGAAAGAAGGATCTTTCAAACCACTGCCTTTGATGGTATAGGAGTCTAATTTTTCAAAAAATAATAGTTAGATAGTGAAGGGTGCGATGTACAAATTGGTGAAGAAAGGAATTGCAATCTAACCGTTTAGTTTTACTTTTATGTTTTTTGTTCGGCGTTCTTTTTTGAAGTTTAAAGAGTGAGGCATAGACGGTATCTGCTCTCCTAAGCGTTATTGCTTTTTCTTGAATTTGCGATGACGGGTACATTTGGAAATTACATAGATCTATTCTTACGAGAGAGATGGTCTGAAATCTTTTTGTAAGTTCTAATTTCCTACTTGGACAAACATGTTTGGCATGAAGAAATTTTTCAAGTTGTTTTTGGGAGGGAATCAGATATACTGCTTAGGAATATCTATAATATAAAATCCTGGTTTAAACAAATTAACTATCGTAAAAAGCGCATATGCTGGAGTTTCATTTACTCTGGCCAGATAAATGATTTTTTAAAGCTTCTTTTGGTTGGAGCTCTTAATAAATCATTATATTTTTAAGGGAGAGAACCTCAACTTGCAAAATTGCGCCTTCATGAAGTTGGGATAGAAATTTCAGCGTCTAATAAAATAATTGTTGATCAGATGGATGAAACATCTCTGAAGTCGGTTTATGCTATTGGAGATGTAGCCGAGGTCTGTACTTTTGTTCCTTAAAACGAGTTTCTTCTGAATCTGAAAAACCTATGAAGCATTATTTGGGTAAAGTTTTCTTAAAATATTCCTTTGCAGGCAAACTATTTTTTTTTAGGGACGACCTGAGCTCTCTCCACCAGCTATAAAAGCTGGGCAATTTTTGGCCGAGCGTTTGTTTAATAACTCTAAAATGCATGTGGATTATGAAATGGTAAAGTCTTTTAAGGCCATTTTTAAATTACTAATTTGGGGCAACGACAGTTTTATGTCAATAACTAGGTTCCTACAACAGTGTTTACTCCTTTGGAGTACTCTTCAGTTGGACTTTCGGAAGAAGCGGCAATGAAGCGTTTTGGAGAGGAAAACGTTGAGGTGAACTACTTAAACTGTGACTTGACGCTTCGACGGTATTAAGGAAGTGATTTTAAGCTTGAATTTATGGTTGGTGACTTCTCTATTTTACTGGCTTTAGGTCTATCACACGTACTACGAGCCGTTCGAATTCGTGATTCCTCGAGACGAAAGAAGTATAAGAAACTGTTATGCAAAAGCGGTTACTGAACGTAAGCCGTCAGGTCGTGTTCTAGGGCTCCACTTTATCGGGCCGAATGCTTCGGAAGTTATGCAAGGTTTCGCTGCTGCATTTGCAGCAAAGGTTAGTCTTATTTTGCTCTTTTTTGCTTTAATATCTTTGTTACGCCTGTTCGGTTGGCCTGACATAATTATGAGAGTTAATGTATAAAAACTCAAAACGTGAGCTGCTTGTCGGTTTCAAAAGTTTGATGCCACTTTGGGAAAAATTTTTTAAAGGTTTTTTTTGGAGCACTGTACTGCACTGAAGTTAACACCTCTATCTAAAAATCTTTCAGATTACTAAAGAACAACTGTTCAACACTATTCCAATCCATCCGTGCTCAGCGGAAGAAATAGTTAAAATGACGGTTACAAAACGGTCGGGTGTACTTCCTGCCATACCTAGCTGTTGTGGATAGCCGTTGTTGTCAAAGATTAGTTTTCGGAGGGTCACAGCATAATTC